CTCCCCGTTCTTTCCCCAGCATCTCCTCTCCCCTTCTAGCTCGGTCTCTCCCGCCTCCCAGCTGCCCGCCACCGGCCCCCGCTTCCTGAGCGTGCAATCATGAAGGTGGTGAACCTGAAGCAAGCCATTTTGCAAGCCTGGAAGGAGCGGTGGAGTGACTACCAGTGGGCAATCAACATGAAGAAATTCTTCCCCAAAGGAGCCACGTGGGACATTCTCAACCTAGCAGGTCTCCAGTGAAATAGGAAGGAAGGATGGGAGGGCTACACCCAGGAAAGTTGTGTCCACAGGGTCTTACTTTGTGATTCCTCTTGCAGAAGCACTGCTGGAGCAGGCCATGATCGGACCTTCCCCCAATCCTCTCATCCTGTCCTACCTGAAGTATGCCATTAGCTCTCAGGTAAACGGCCCCACCGGTTCCAGAGGGTGAGGGTGTGAAGATATGAAAGACGTAGAGTACCGTTGTCAGCTCATATCCTGTCCAGGTGAATTGGTTGGAATATACCAGAATCACTTCTCTGAGCTGCAGTTTTCTCATGGAAAGAATAATACTTCATTAACTTATTCTACAGTAAATATTCACGAATGTTTGTATGTGCCAGACAGTGCTGTAGGCCCTGGGGATATGGCTGTGAACAAGGTCTGATCCCAGCACCCAAAGAATTTAGTGGGTAATCTATAATAATAAACGCGTAATATGCTAATTAGACCAGACAGCCAAACGACGTTCTGGACGTCCTTCCAGTCAAAGCTGTGGCAGCAGGGCCGAGGCAGAGGCGGTTAGGGGTGATCAGGCAGGCAGGCAGAGTGGTTAGGGGCAATCAGGCAGGCAGGCAGAATGGTTAGGGGCGATCAGGCAGGCAGGCAGGTGAGTGGTTAGGAGCCAGCAGTCCCGGATTGCGAGAGAGAGGGGCCCATGGGATCGGGCCTAAACTGGCAGTCGGACATCCCCCGAGGGGTCCCGGATTACGAGAGGATGCAGGCCAGGCTGAGGGACTCCCCCGTGCAGAATTTCGTGCACTGGGCCTCTAGTGCAGATATAATAAGCCGTCAGTCACAGGATAGGCTTATGATAGTGGCTGGGACAGGGTACTCTGGGAGTCCATGGAAGGGGCACCTAATCCATCCTGAGCAATCAGAGGGATGCGATGTTCAAACCAAGACATGAATGTTGAGTTAGCCAGGCAGATTGATAAGATTGTACATAGTGTTTGACAGTATTTCCACACATACTTGCCAGTGCTGGATAGAATCTTACAGATTTATTTCCAGAGAAGCAAAAAATAACATCATGTTATATTATGTATTTCCATGATTGTGATGTTGAGCATATTTTTATATGCATATCTTCTGTGAATTACTTATGTGTACCATTTGCCCATTTTACTATTGTTAGATTGTTTTCTTTCTTTCTTTTTTTTTGTTAACAGCTTTATTGAGCTATAGATCACGTACTATATAAATAGTTTACCGATTTAAGGTATATATCTCACTAGTTTTTAGAATACTCAGAGTTGTACAACTATCACCACAATCAGTTTGGAACATTTTCATCATTCCAAGAAGAATTCCTACTTATTTTTAAGTCTTTTAAAATAATCTATCTTGCCCTAGCTGGTTTAACTCAATGAATAAGAGCGTCGGCCTGTGGACTGAAAGGTCCCAGGTTCGATTCTGGTCAAGGGCATATGCCCTGGTTTGGGCTTGATCCCCAATAAGGGTGTGCAGTAGGCAGCCAGTCAGTGATTCTCTATCATCATTGATGTTTCTATCTCTCTCTCCCTCTCCCTTCCTCTCTGAAATCAATAAAAATATATTTTAAAAAATCTATCTTGTAATCTTTATCTGTTATATATGTTTTCAATTTTCTTTCTGTCACCTTTAAGTTTGTGATTTTTATTTTCTTGGCATGCAGAAGTTTTTCTTTAAATATTTTTATTGATTTCAGAGAGGAAGGCAGAGGGAGAGAGAGATAGAAACATCAGTGATGAGAGAGAATCATTGATCGGCTGCCTACTGTACACCCCCCACCGGGGATCAAACCTGCAACCTGAGCATGTGCCCCTGACCAGAATCGAACCCAGGACCCCTCAGTCCGCAGGCCAATGCTCTATCCACTGAGCCAAACCAGCCAGGGTGGCATGCAAAAGTTTTTAATGCATCTGTTGCCAGATTTAGCCTTTTTCCTATGTGGCTTTTGTCTTGCATAAGGGGTTGCCTGCTCCAAGGATCAAAATATATTTTTCTCTAACTTTTGCCAACACTTCACTTTTATTTTTTATGTTTCTCTTCTCTGACACAGTTAAAATTTATTGCAGTGTGAAACAGAGAGCCAAGTTTATTTATATATTTTTTCAGACAGATGGACAGTTGTCTCAACTACCTTTATTGAATAGACCATTATTTATCTTAGCCTAAATTTTCTTATAGACAGGATTCCATTTCTTGACATTCTAGTTTATTTTATTGATATATTGGTCTTTTCTTGCACCAGTACTTTATTGTTTTAATTACTGTACCTTTATAATATGTTTGATACCTGGCTAGGCAAGCCTTCCCATAGTTTTATCTCTCAAAAATTTCTTGACCCAGGCATTTTCATTTCCAGACAAATTTTAGAATCCACTTAAGTTCTTTTTAAAACCCTATTATATTTTGATTGGGAGTTCCTTGACTTTGTGGATTTGGGGAATTTGTGGATTAACTTTAGAAAAATCACTCTGATTGTAGTTTGAAGAATGGGTTGAAAGGGAGTAAGACAGAAGTCAAGGACACGATTTAGTCTGGAATATTTTTGCTGTAAAGAACCAGGGAGTAAATACTTTCTGTTTTGCAGGCCATATAGTTTCTGTCACCACTGTTTTGTCATTATAGCTTGAAAGCAGATCTAGATAATATGTAAATAAGTGGGCATGCCTGTGTTCTGATAAAACTTTATTTACAAAAAAGGTGGATAAGCCAGATTTAGGTTGTAAGCCTTAGTTTTCCAACCCCTGATTTAAGCTATTGTAGTAATTCAGGAAAGAGATGATATTAGCATAAACTTGGGAAGTGCCCACCCTGGCTGTTAGAGCATTAGCCTGCAAACCAAAGGGTCTTGGGTTCGATTCCCGGTCATGGGCACCTGGGTTACAGGTTCAATCCCAGGCCACAGTCGGAGTGAATGTAGGAGGCAACCAATCGATATGTCTCTCCCATATCAATGTTTTTTTCTCTCTCTCTCTCTCTCTCTCTCTCGTCTCTTTCTCCCTCCCTCCCCCCCACTCTCTCTAAAAATCAATGAAAAAAAATCCTTGGGTGAAGATTAACAAAAAAATAAAATAAATAAAAATAAAAAAACTTGGGAAATGGCAGCAGCAAAAAAAAAAAAAAAAAAGATGAATTCAAGTGCAGTGTAGCTCAGTTGGCTGGGCATCGTCCCGTGGAATGAGAGGTTGCCAGTTTGATTCCTGGTTGGGGCACATGCCTGGGTTTCAGACTTAATCCCCCATAGGGGGTGTGCATCCATGTTTCACTCTCCCATTGATGTTTCTCTCTCTCCCTCTCCCTCTAAAAATCAATAAAAACATATTTAAAAAAAGATGAATTCAAGAAGAAGTTAGGAAATGGCAAGGAGAGCGGATTTGGTGATTAACTGGAGAAGTGTGAAAGAGAGGAAAAAATCCAAGGCAGTGTCTAAGTTTCTGGTTTGGAGGACTGGCTGAACGATGGGATCGTAGGAAGACAGTGGGAGTAGAGTAGGACTGTTAGGTGTGGGGTGCAGATGAGGGGTGGAGATGGCATGTTTGATTTGGGCCTTGTTACATTTAAGGTGCCTCTGTGGGCTATCAAAGAGAAGATACTGAGTAGGCAGTTGAACATACATGTCTGGAACTCAGAAGGAGAGGCCTAGACTAGAGCTGTTGATTTAGGAGTCATCCTCTGCAGATGGTAATTGAAACTATGGGCATGGGTGAGATTGCCCAGAGAGTGTGGAGAGTGAGCAAGGAAGGGAGTGACCAAGCCACATTCCTGACGAACCAATCACATTTAAGGAACACACGCAGGAAAGGAATTCCTTACAGGAGTCCGAGAAGAAGGGGTCAGCGAGGAGAGAAGAAAAGAAAAGCGAGAGAGCGTGGTCTCAAGAAAAGTCACAGGAGGAAGGAGAGGACTGAAGAATGAGGAGGTGTTTCCTGGTGTTAGACGCTGCTGGGAGGTCATTGGGATCAGAACTGAGAACTGTCCATGGGGTGTAACAACAAGAGCTTGTTGATGAGCTTAATGAGAGGATTCATGCCGTGGGAAGGACAGAAGTGATTGGAATGGGTTGAATTGCCAGCGGGAGGTGGGGAGGTAGACAGAGAGTAGAGAGAACTCTTATGCCTGTGAGGAGCAGAAGAGAGGGTGATGGTTAATTGGAAGTGGGAGGTCTGCGGGACGTTCCTTTAAAAATAGAAGAATCTTGAGAGGTGTAAACACTGATGGGAAAAGCAAGAGGGATAAAGAGGCTGAAGTAACAGTGAGAAATAAATATACATGGAAGACCTTCATGACTTCCAAAGTGCTGTGCAAAATTAGTCATTTATTTTTCCTTCAGAGTTAAGAGGCTCTTTGGTCCAGTGCTGTGCTCACAGAGGTACTGAGGAGCAGCTGGGGTGTTGACTATGAAGAGCAGAGGAGACTAGAGAGCAGCTGCGGGTCAGTCTGGGCTGGCGAGGTGTGCAGTGGCCACAGAGACGTCTCCGTCCCTGGGCTGCTGGTAGTTTAGCGCTCCTACATTGATGGATATATTAAGACTGGACTAGGTTAAATCCTGCTGTTAAAGCAGTTCACCATGTGGAAAGTATTTTTAGGTCTCTAGAGTAGAAGTGCCTTATTGATACTGTTGGCAAAAATTTACTGAACAGAATCCTGAATTTGGAGATCATATAAACATGTAACCAATGACATCCTTCAGAACATACAGAATTGGGGGTGTCTCTTCTGGTAGTTTGGGGTCTGTTTCTAGTGGGGACATCCAGCTCCCCCTTCAGGTTGGTATCCAACAAGGTTCCGTTCTCTGCCAAGCTCTTGCTATGGGGACATCAGTTATAAATAAACAAACACTCGCCTGGAACGTTACGGTCATCCTGCCCAGGCAGGCACCCAACTTCCTGATCACTGTCAGACACCAGCGTTGGCTTCACAGGGCGTCCTGCTGAGAGTGGCACTAAACACTAATTGTGTATTTAAGTCTTCTGTGTGCTTTGCACCTGTTTAATCCAAGAATATTTGTTAAAGATGTCTGAACAGAGAGCAGTCTGTTCACATGATGGGAAAATAAGACAAGAAAGGCATCGCCCTACTAAGTTCACCCTACTAAGGTTATCGAGGCTGACTTAGCTTTCTTCTTAAATCTTTGGAAAGTTCTATTTTTCTAGTGAAGAAAACCCACAAGGCAGGTAACTAATTATCTTGACAGTTTCTGTCATTGTATTTTGCTTTTTTATTTGTTGTATTGTGCCACTAATTTTGAGTATACAATTGTGACTGTTTTCTGTAGTATTACTCATTTTATCAGCATGCTATATTATTGTTATTTTAGAATATGACAACTTAAAAGATTTTTTTGTGGAGTTTAATTTCACTCAGGACAAATTATTTCTTTTGAATTATATCTCTGACCTTATGGTAATAAGTAGGTTTTACTAATAGAAATTTGTTTTAAGGTAAATTTCCCCCCCAGAACGTTAGTTACATGACATCTTAGATATCATAATGAAAGACACATCAATTATGAAAGAGAATTCATCGGTCGAAAACAATAAAAACTTACGGAGAACCTACTGCCGGCTGGGCCCCAGGTTGGGTTCTAGAGAAACAATAATACCTTTTAAAATTCTGTTTAACTTTAAAAAGCCACATGTGGCTAATGGCATCGCTATTGTCCAGTGCAGCTTTAGAAGCTACTTTGGGAAATGCTGATCTAAGGGTGTGGTTTTACTTATTCATTCTATAAACATTGTCAACAAGTTCATTGGTCACCGAGTAAAAGCGTCCTTATCCTCACGGAGCTTCTAGTTCGGTGGGGGCAGCAGGCACCAGCTGTGCAGTGATGTGCACAAGGGGGTTACTTGGAGCACAGAGGATATTTCAGCTTTGGGTGGGAGGTTGGGGTCGATCAGAGAAGGTGCCCTGGTGGAGTCCTCGAGAATAACTCCTAGGAAAATGAGTAAGAGGTGAATAGTGGAATTCACTACCGATGTCAAGGTGCAGTTACTACCTAGTCACTGCAAGAAATGTGTGCTTGTCTCCAGTTCTTTTTTATTTTATTGATTTCAGAGAGGAAGGGAGGGAGGGAGGGAGAGAGAGAGAGAGAGAGAAACATCAGTGATGAAAGAGATTCATTGATTGGCTGCCTCCTGCACGCCCCCCACTGGGAGTCAAGTTCACAACCCCAGCATGTGCACTGACCAGGAATCAAACCATGACCTCCTGGTTCATAGGTCAACGCTCAACCACTGAGCCATGACAGCCGGGCTGTTCTTGTCCAAACAAAATCACTCTTTTTTTTTTTAAAATATATTTTATTGATTTTTTAACAGAGAGGAAGGGAGAGGGATAGAGAGTTAGAAACATCGATGAGAGAGAAACATCGACCAACTGCTTCCTGCACACCCCCCATAGGTCAACGCTCAACCACTGAGCCATGACAGCCGGGCTGTTCTTGTCCAAACAAAATCACTCTTTTTTTTTTTAAAATATATTTTATTGATTTTTTAACAGAGAGGAAGGGAGAGGGATAGAGAGTTAGAAACATCGATGAGAGAGAAACATCGATCAACTGCTTCCTGCACACCCCCCACTGGGGATGTGCCCACAACCGAGGTACATGCCCTTGACCAGAATCGAACCTGGGACTCTTCAGTCCGCAGGCTGACGTTCTATCCACTAAGCCAAACTGGCTAGGGCAAAATCACTCTTGATAGAAGTTTTAGGAGTAAAGGAACATAACCATTCTTCTGTCCACCGGCAGTCAGTTAGACTCTATATAGTGGACAGTGAAACATGGCACCTTTGAATGCCCCAAATCATCTTCTGAATGGGTTCATGCTTATGATGTCATTTGCGGTGAGTCTGATAGAGGGAGGAATGGAGACAATGCCTAGTGTTTTGCCTTGTTCAGTGGGCTGAGGAAGGCCTCTTGAAAGGGTTGAGGTTTTAGGAGAGCTGCCGCAACTTGGAGTGTCAGCGCTTGTTCCGCTCAACTGTGGAACACCGGTTGTCTGAACTTTATCTTTCTTCTTTCCCTCCAGATGGTGTCCTACTCCTCTGTCCTCACAGCTATCAGTAAGGTATGATCATAGCTACCCAGAGGCTGGGTGGGGGCCAGAGGAAAAGATACGGTCATGACGGAGGGGCTCCCACCTCCTTGAATGCTCTGATCATGTGGCCACTGAGGCTGGACAGGCAGCCCACGCTGCCTCTGGCTGGCAGAGCTGCCTTTCCCTGGAAGGGAGAGCATCCTGGGAAGCGGGGGCTGGCAATTAGCCAATCTCCAGTGTTGAAAGGGTGCCCATTCTGAAACCTGAGGTGGGAGGAAAGATGAGTGTCCCATCTGCCTCGTGTGAGACCAGCGGTTGACTGTAGCGTCACCTCTGTTCTTTCCACAGTTTGATGACTTTTCCCGTGACCTGTGTGTCCAGGCGTTGCTAGATATCATGGACATGTTTTGTGACCGACTAAGGTAATAGCAGGGGTGAGGGGCTCACAACCTCCAGCATTAGCTTAGTGTAAAGGAGAAGCTCCAAGTAGAGAGACTCTGTGGCTCCCCACACTTCTCCCCCCTGCTCACCCACACCCACCCATCCCCATCCTTTTCCACTTCGTCCTTAGGACAAAAATGCCTCTTCTCGATTGGGAGTAGCTCGTTTGAAATCTTGTCCAGTGGAAATCAACAGGGCTGTCTTCCCTAGGACTTTGCTAGCTTCCCAACTCTCTTCCCTAGTAGGGAGTGCCAGGCCCTCTGGGAACATTGGTGTGGGTCAGATTTCAGCCTTTGGAGCGGAGACAGATTTTGCATCCTTTCCCGTAGCTGTCATGGCAAAGCAGAGGAGTGCATCGGGCTGTGCCGGGCCCTTCTCAGCGCCCTCCACTGGCTGCTGCGCTGCACTGCAGCCTCTGCCGAGCGGCTCCAGGAGGGGCTGGAGGCTGGCACTCCAGCTGCGGGGGAGAAGCAGCTTGCCATGTGCCTGCAGCGCCTGGAGAAGACCCTCGGCAGCACCAAGAACCGGGCCCTGCTCCACATCGCCAAACTAGAGGAGGCCTGTATGTCCCCTCGTCCCCCTGAGCCCCACCTGCCACTGCTCCCATATCCGGTTCTTTAATTGCGAGGGGAGAGGCAGGATGGCATCCCACTTTTTTCCAGGAGGATCTGAAATCATCCCACTTCCTTTTTTCTCTCCCCATAAGCATTGCATACATCCCAGGGACTTGGGCAGGGTGGCACCCGAGCCAATCAACCAACAGGTATTTACTGAGCCTTATTGTATGCCCAGCACTCTGCCAGGTGCTGGGGGCGGGGGGGTGGGGGGCTGCTGAAGGAGCATGTGGCAGGGTCCCTGCCTTCAACCAGTATACATGCCAGTGGGGAGCAAGACTAGTGTGCAATATACGTGGAAAAAATTAGAGGACAAGGCAAGCACGTGATCCATCCTTGTGTTTGTCTCCATGTTACTGATCATCTGAAAAACAGATGACTGTGTTTGAGCATTGCCTAACAGGTCCTTTAGACATGATGCCTGTCTGCTGCCAGGCCTACTGGGCCATACACCTCTCGACTCAAGTGCACATGTTAAACATTGGAATTCTCCAGAGCCTGCGATCAGACAGATCACCTAGTGGGAGGGAGGGTTCTGATATTCCGGACGTGGGGCCGAAGGCCGCAGTCTTGCTGTGGCTTGGGACCACTGAGGATCTGTATTTCTCCAACAATGAAAATGCTAGAATGGGTTACCTCCAGGTCTTCAAGGCCTGGTTGAAGAACTTGTAGGATTAGTATATTTATTACTTCCCAAAATATATTTTATTGTCTGTGTAAAGTACGGAAAGGTGACCACGATGTAAAAATTGGCTATGTTGACAGTTTCTTACCTATCTTGAGGACTTGAAAAATGTTTATTGGCTGCAAAATGAATGAATATTTAGCTTAATGGATCTCACCTCCCCCATGCTACATATAGGTTAATGGGCTAGTTGGTGCCATTCTTCATCAATTGACCCTCTGGAATTGTAACTAGGATAAGTGACTTATAATTAAGTGCTAAATCATGCAGTATAGACCATGAATTCAGGCATTTAGGAGAGATCAGTGGGTTGGACCAGTTGGGTGAGTTGTTAAAGCCGCTGGGGCTTGAAGGGAGGCTTGAAGGATAGTGAGAGTTGGCGAGGTGATGCGTGGGAGGGGCATTTCCGAAGGGAGGACAGCTAGAGCCAAGGCCCAGACGGGGTGGAGGATACAGAAGGAGGTGTAGGAGTCCAGCTTGTCTGAGTTGGAGAGTGTTGGCTACTTGCAAGGCTGGCACACTCCTGAAGTGATCTGGGGCCACCTCCCTGTTCCAGCCTCTGGACTCCCCTCCCCGCCCCACCCCTGCCTCTCTGCCACAGCCTGTCTCTAAAGTCAGCTGCACGCATCCCTACAGGCAGGCTTCTGGGATTAGTTTCTAGGGGCTTCACTGTTGGTGTGCAGCCTCCTTCTAGGAACAGCACATGCTGCCCCCAGGCCCCCAGCCTCCATGTCACTCTCAGGGGAAGCCTCCTTGTGTGGTTTTGTGGGCCCAGGGGGTGCCAAAGTTGAGGAGTTTGGGGCTACTCTCTCCCTCTCCTCTGTTTCCCATCATGTTCCTGCATTTCCTTTTCTCCACCAGCCTCCTGGACAGCTATTGAACATTCTCTTTTGAAGCTTGGGGAGATCTTGGCCAATCTCAGCAACCCCCAGCTCCGGAGCCAGGCTGAGCAGTGCGGCACACTCATTAGGAGGTACCCAGCTCCCAGGCCGATGGTGGTGAAGGGAGAGGGGAAAGGCCCTGGGTCGGGGTGGGTCGTGTGGCACCTGCCCCGACCCTTCTGCTCCCCCCTGCTCTCCAACGCTTCCCAGCTCACCAAACACCACCCCCTGTGGATCTGTCCCCTCAGCATCCCCACGATGCTGTCCGTGCACTCCGAGCAGCCGAACAAAACTGGCTTCCCCACAGTCCACGCACTGGTCCTGCTCGAGGGCACCATGAACCTGACAGGCGAGACCCAGCCCCTGGTGGAACAGCTGATGATGGTGAAGCGCATGCAGGTGGGTGGGCCAGAATTGCCTCTATATCCCCAAGGCGGCGACCGTTTGTGTGCAAGAGGGAGGATTCTCTGGTCCTTCTGGGAGACATGGGGTTTCTCCTATTCATGGGAAAGTGAATCCCAGTCTTGTACGGTTCTGCCAACTTACCTGACGTCCCTGGCTCTCGTGTTCCTGTGTTTCCCAGTTGTAACCCAGCCTGATGCCCGGGGGCCTGCAGAGGTGAAGGGGGGTATGGGGCCCCTCTCAGGCCTTGCCTTGGGTCTTCCTGCAGCATATCCCCACCCCACTTTTTGTCCTGGAGATCTGGAAAGCTTGCCTCGTGGGCCTCATCGAGTCTCCCGAGGGTACGGAGGAGCTCAAGTGGACGGCTTTCACCTTCCTCAAGGTACCTGGGACCTGGAGCAGCAGGAGAGCCCATCTAGGGATGGTCCTCGGCAAAAGCAGCGACTCCCTGGGCCTTTGCCCCGTGTTTCTCCCGCTGGCGTCACGCCCAGCCTGCCGGGTCCCCCAGCACTAGTTCCCATCGATTCTTTTCTCTGAGAGTCCCAGGGCCATATTTAGCGCGCTGGCAGCTCCTGCTGTGTCTTAGCACACAGGTGCTCCTTAGCTCCGTCTTCAGCCAGTTTCCTACAGGGCAGTCACGGGAGCCAGGGAAGCAGGCCGCGGTCCTTGAAGCGAGGACTCCACTTCTGCTTATGGCATTTCCTAGTTGAGCCAGCAGATAGGGGGTCCCTGTGTCCTGTAGGCTGAGGGCACCGGGCACTTAGGTACCGTCGCTTTCTGATTTGGCTTCTAGAATGCTTTCACTTTCAGGGTAGGGGTGTTCCTGTCTCTCTGCCCAGAGCAGGGGCCGGAGGGGCTGCCTTCAGTTCTGGGTGCAAGAGAAAAACTTGTGCTTCCTGTTTTCCCCCTGCCTCATCCTCTAGATTCCACAGGTTTTGGTGAAGTTGAAGAAATACTCTCATGGGGACAAGGTGAGTAGAAGAAATGAGACGGAGGGGGCATAGGAGCAGGTAGATCCTTGTCTCTGCCCTGGAGAAGCAAGAGCAAGGGGAGGGTCGCTGAACTGGGCAGAAGTGTGTCCTTGTTCCTGTGGGAAGGGGAGTGTGTATGCACCCGAGCATCTGTGTGCACCACACACAGGCACCCAGTCTCCAGAGAGAAGGCATCCAGGCTGCTAAGGAGGCAGGGTTGCCTGAGATGATCAGGACCCGGGTGGCCATGGAGGGCGATGCCCCAAACTTCCCCCCATTGTAGTCACTGGAAGCCAGTGGGTAGGCACGGCCGACTCGTAGGCTTTTATATCCAGCGGTGTCCTTGTGAGCCTGCAACGCAGGCTGTGGGTGGGGAAGAAGACTGAGAAGCCAGATGGCATTTCTGGCTCTTTGTAGGACTTTACCGAAGATGTCAATTGTGCCTTTGAGTTCCTGCTGAAGCTCACACCCTTGCTGGACAAAGCTGACCAGCGCTGCAAGTACGAACTCCCCTGCACTCGACGGGGAAGTGTCCTGGGCTCTCCCACTGCTCTTCCTGCCAGATACGCCTCAAAGGACTGTCTTATTGTTCGCCCCCCTTGGCAGGAGCAGGAGGCAACAGCCTCCTAGTTGCCAAATGCCCAAGCCCCACTCCCCTCTCCCTTCCCTCTGGCGCTCCGAACGTTCTTTATCCTGGGGGAGGGAGGATCCCGGGTTGGGACCCTTGCTGCTGCCCCTCAGGAATCCCTGCTCTGGGCCCAGTCCCCTCATCATCTTTCTCCTTCACAGCTGTGACTTTACAGACTTCCTTCTTCAGGAATGTAGGAAGCAGGGGCTTCTGTCTGAGGCCAGTGTGAACAACCTTATGACCAAGCGGTGAGTGTGAGCTCCCTCGGGCCGGTCCAAGCACCCTTTGCCCTCCCTCTCTCCTGTCCAGACTGGGCTACTGGGTGCCTTTCCGCTCCTGTCTAGAGTTTGGGTTGCGGGTGCCTGGGGCCAGGAGACACTGGTTTCTGCAGACTAGGGTTTTGCCCCATTAGGTACTGTGCTTTGACTCTCGGCCTCCTTCGTGATCAAAGTCAAAATCCTAAGTCTTCCTCCAATCTTAAATGAACTTTCAGGACAGGTGTAATGACCAATGACCAAAGGAAGCGATTGGATATTGGATACGCTTTCATAGGTGTCACCCTGGCACCAAAGGTTCTCCTGTGCTTCCCCCCTTCTCTGTGCCTCTGCTCCTGGGGCTGGATAGGGAGCACGTCAGGGACTTATCTCTGTTCCTCTTCTCTTCTCTGGGCCGAATGGTAATGGCCGCAGTGCAGCAGACCGGGAGCACGCACCCCAGCAGAAATCGGGAGAGAACGCCAACATCCAGCCCAATCCTGGGCTGATCCTCCGAGCGGAGCCCACTGTTACCAACATCCTCAAGGTGAGTGCTCCCGTCCCTTGCCACCAGGGTCGTCTCTTCCCTCTTTCCAGTTTTCCCTCTACTTCCAGATGAATACACAGAGGCCATAGACCTCCCTCTTCTGGCTTCTGTACATAGTTACTTGGGAAGTAGAGAAAGGGGGAACTTCCGCAAGGGAAGCTGCCATTGAAAACTAACATTTATTGAGCATCACTTGTAAGCCAGGCATTGTGGTAGGTGCTTTCACGTAGCTCGTCTTGTGCAGAAACAATGGAGAATTTCACAGCAGGGACCTCACCTGCCCGGTCCTGCCACCCTTGTCTCAGTTGAGTTGCGAGGGATGGTTTTGGCGAGCAAGGATAAGATTTTAGAAACTGTTTTCCAGATTGGAATCAGAAAGACGTAGGTTAAGTTGCAGGTCCTGGTGTACCATTGAATGGAGACATGCAGAGAGAGAGACTGTGGCTAGGCTGTATCTGGGGGGGTCTTCAGTGTTCTTCAGGACTTGATTTCCTGTCGTGTCCCCAGACGATGGATGCAGACCACTCCAAGTCCCCGGAGGGGCTGCTGGGGGTCCTGGGCCACATGCTGTCTGGGAAGAGTCTGGACTTGTTGCTGGCTGCAGCCGCTGCCACTGGGAAGCTTAAGTCCTTCGCCCGGAAATTCATCAAGTAAGGAAGGCCGAGCTCTGGCCAGGGCCGGGGAGGCATATCTGAAGTAAGAAGTAGCAGGATGGGGCGGGGCCCTGCGTTCTGGGTCTCCCAGGATGCTCCGTCCAAGGCAGAGCATCCCAGCTGGAGGCCCTGGGGGGAGGACCGTTTCTTTGGACATGGAACCTCGTTGCTCTTCCGCTGAGGATGACGTGGAGGAGTTCCAGGAGGTGACAAGGCGGTGAACGGTGGCGCGGAGGGGTTCTGTGTGTGCCCAGGCGTTAACCGGGGGCTCTCCAATTCTGTGGACTTATTTTTGTTAACCTGCAATTTGATCTGTAGAAATTGTTCTATTCAATGAGCCATTCTCTGGGTTCTGGGAATCTTTAAAAATGAAGTTCTCTCTTCTGTAGCAGTGGTGCTCATTTTAAGTTTGACCTGTAATTGGAACTAGTGAGTGCCTCTCGGGGTGGGTGTGGCCCCCCATCCCCAGCTGTCACTCCGCCCTTGCTCTGGTTGATGCGGCCTCTCTCCATTCCCTCCACAGTTTGAACGAGTTCACGACACACGGCAGCGAAGAAAGCAGTAAGTCAGCTCTGCGCACCCCAGGCCGGTGGGCACTGAGAGACGGGTGTGGGGGGAGAGCTCACGGGGGAAGAGGATGCCTTATGTGGGTCCTGGGAGGCTCTTCTCCCCTGAGTGGACGCATGAAGCCTGTGGGAGGCTTGAGAGAGGGTGATGCTGGGAAAGTGTTCCACAGCCACCCCTTTGTCCCCCCCTTAGGATTTGGTTGGGTATTGGGGGGAAAGAGGGTATCGGGAGTCGGATTCCAAGGAAGGAATGATGTTCCAATTGAGACTCAAGAAAAGGATTCTGAGCCTCAGAGCTTTGAAGGAGACACTGGCTCTGACCTTCCCTGAGATGAATCCTGACCCAGGCAAGGGCGTGGGGCCCTGCCCTGGGCTGCAGGTCAGCCTTCTCATCCTTCACAGCCAAATCGGCCTCCGTCCGAGCCTTGCTCTTCGACATCTCCTTCCTCATGCTGTGCCACGTGGCCCAGACCTATGGCTCCGAGGTGAGTGCGAGGAGAGCGGGCAGGTGAGGGGCAAGAGGGAAGGAAACAGCCACTATCTCTCCCCCAGTCACCCCTCCCATCCCACCCCACCCCTGTCAGGATCTTGGTGCAGAAATCAGGCATCCACCCAGAGAATATAATGGAAGTTAGCAGAGGCCCTCCTGGTCGCATCCCAAATCCTTCAGTGCCATATCCCCGACCACTAGGTGGCAGCATCGCCCTCCTCTTTCCCTGTAGCTGGTTTGCCCCCAGTTCTCCAGGCGACAAATGGGAGCAGGAAGCACCAGGGCAGGTGCCCCCACTCGGCTGGTGACTCGCCTCCTCTCCCAGGTGATCCTGTCTGAGTCGAGCGCAGGGGCAGAGGTGCCCTTCTTTGAGACCTGGATCCAGACCTGCATGCCCGAGGAGGGCAAAATCTTGAATCCTGACCACCCCTGCTTCCGGCCGGACTCTACCAAAGTGGAGTCCCTAGTGGCCCTGCTCAACAACTCCTCCGAGATGAAGCTGGTGTCAGTGACCTGGGCGCCCACTCCCAGGGGCGGTGGGGGGTGCCGGTCCCTCTCCCTCAGCCCACCCCTCGTTCCCCTGGTGATTCTCCCCCCGCCCCCGCCCCCCCTCGCAGGCAGATGAATTGGCACGAGGCCTGTCTCAGCATTTCAGCCGCCATCTTGGAAATCCTCAACGCCTGGGAGAACGGGGTGCTGGCCTTCGAGTCCATCCAGGTAGCCCTCCCCCCCCTCTTCCAGCAGCCTTCTCGCTTCCCTGGGACACAGAGCCAGTCCTTGATAGGTGGTTATATTTCATAAGAACAAGGAGGCAGACCCTTAAGCCAGGAGCTCCTGTTTGGATGTTGATCTTCCCTGTAATCATAGTCCCAGCCACTCCCTCCCACCCAGGTGACTGGGAAAATCAAACTTGTGGTGAAAAGAGGTGTAGCATGTGGCCCAGGGCTCTGTGTGCTGCACTCAGCGGCCGCAGAGGCTGCGAAAGGTGATAGGCAGGGAAGGGGAGATGGTGGCCCCGGTCACACTTTCCCTCTCTCAGAAAATCACAGATAATATCAAGGGGAAGGTATGCAGTCTGGCAGTGTGTGCTGTGGCTTGGCTGGTGGCCCACGTGCGGATGCTGGGGCTGGATGAGCGGGAGAAGTCGCTGCAGATGATCCGCCAGCTGGCGGGGCCATTGTACAGTGAGAACACCCTGCAGTTCTACAATGAGAGGTCAGTAACCCGCCCCTCCCTTCTGGAATGCTACAGGTCTGCGGTGCAAAATGGCACCTCCAGGAACCGATATCTGACCCCTCTTACCTTCCCAAACATGCTGCTCACTTGCTCACTCACTTCCTCGCTCGCTCACATTCCTATTCACGTATTCACTCACTGACTCAGCAGCAGTTTCATGTCTTATCTGGCACTTGCTGTGCCCAGAAATACAGACCCCAAACACCTATGATTCCTGCCCTCAAGGAGGTCGAGTTCTGGAGAGCTAGCTTGCCACAAGAACAACGCGATTGTCTTAGCTGCGTCACTGTCCAGAAACTATGAGCCCATCTGTAGATTTCACAGGCCTTGGCCCTGCCCACTCCCCTCACCCCCCACCTGGCTGTCTTCTGTGACGTTTTACTGCCGTGGCTTCTCATGGGCTTCCGGAATCTCCCTGGTGACTTCAGCCATGTTGAGTTCAGTGGTGTTGGTTCACTCACCTGTCCAATAAGCTTTTTTTTTATTGTGGTAAAAAATATATAATATGAAATCTACCATCTTAAACATTTTTGGTTGATTGATTTTGGAGAGAGAAAGGGAGAGAAAGAGAAGCATCAATTTGTTGTTGTACTTATTTATGCATTCACTGGTTGTTGTTTTTTTTAAATATAATTGATTTTTTACAGAGAGTAAGGGAGAGGGATAGAGAGTTAGAAACATCAATGAGAGAGAAACATCGATCAGCTGCCTCCTACACACTCCCCACTGGGGATGTGCCCGCAACCAAGGTACATGCCCTTGACCGGAATCGAACCTGGGACCCTTGAGTCCGCAGGCTGACGCTCTATCCACTGAGCCAAACTGGTCAGGGCTGGTTGCTTCTTTATATGTGCCCTGACCAGGGATTGATCCTGCAACATTGGCGTATCAGGACCATGCTCTAACCAACTGATCTACCCGGTCAGGGCCCATTTTAGCCATTTTTAAATGTAGAGTTCAATAGTGTTAAGATGTATATATTTTTTTTCATATATATGTTATTCATTTATTATATAACAGTGGGAAGAGAGATTATTTTTGTTTGTTTGTTAATCCTCATCCGAGAATATTTTTTCCATTGAATTTTAGAGAGAGTGGGAGGGAGGAAGTGGAGTGGAGGGAGAAGGGGGGAACATTGATATGAAAGAGACACATTGATTGGTTGTCTTCCGTATGCGCCTCAACCGGGGCTGGGGATCCAACCTGTAACCCAGGTACTTGCCCTTGACCGGGAATCGAACCCAAGACCCTTTGGTCTGAGGGCTGACACTCTAACCCAGCCATGGGCAAACTACGGCCTGCGGGCCGGATCCGGCCCGTTTGAAATGAATAAAACTAAAAAAAAAAAAAAGACCGTACCCTTTTATGTAATGATGTTTACTTTGAATTTATATTAGTTCACACAAACACTCCATCCATGCTTTTGTTCCGGCCCTCCGGGCCAGTTTAAGAACCCATTGTGGCCCTCGAGTCAAAAAGTTTGCCCACCCCTGCTCAAATCACTGAGTGAAACCAGCCAGAGCTGTATATTCACATTGTTGTGAATCAGATCTCCAGCATTTTCATCTTATAAATCTGAAACTCGTGCTCATTAAGCAACAACTCACACTCTCCCCACCCCAGCTTTTCGTAACCACCATTCTGCTTTCTATTCCTATGAATTTGACTGCTTTGGATAACTCACGTAAGTGGAATCGCACAGTATTTGTCATTTAGTGACTGGCATATTTCACTTAGCACAATGTCCCCAAGGTTCATCCACATTGTAGAACATTTCAGAATGTCCTCCTTTTTAAGGCTGAATAATATTCCATTATTTGTATATACATACCATGTTTGCCTATCCATTTATTAGTCGATGGGCACTTGGGTGTTCATCATCTCTTGGCTGTTGCGAGTAGTGCTGCTGTCACATGAGCATGAACCGGTCGGTAGGTTGTGAGCGGTGATGCACAAGGTGGCCCTCAGGATGCCTTCCAACGGAGAAGTGGGACACTGAGCTGAAAGGAGGTTGGGGGGGGCCTGTGAAATCGCACCTGATTTTCCCCCTTGCCTCTTGCTTTTCTTCCCTCATCATCCTCCCTCCACAAGGAATGGAATGTTTGCTCTCATGTAATCCGCTCTAAGCCCTGACTCTGTCTGGGTGAGGAATAGTGGGAAATCTGTGGCTTCATCATGCAGGTCAAAGCAGTGGCTCTGAGAGTCACAGGGACTTTCCCAGAGCCACCGCGTTCCAGGAACAGTTAGCGCTCAGGCCCAGTCTGTATTCAGAGTCGAAGACTCTTCCCGAGAAAATTCCTGGATATACACTCAATTTGCCCAGCTACCAAGGGCGGGAAGAAGAGTCCCGTGGGGCAGCCCTTGGGCCCCTGTCCTGGAAGTTTACATTGGTAGGAGGCCCTGGGTCGGGACCCCCCTTAAGCACTCAGCCCAGAGGGAAGTGATTGTTCTTACTTATGCCAGAGGAATTGGCAGGCCAGGCCTGGGGGTGGGGGGAGTTAGAGAGAGAAAATACAAACGCATTGCTAGATAACCTGGGAAAGGAAAGCATACCCGCCCCTGCCCCCCGTAGGCTTTGTGCCCAGCAGCGAGAGTCCTGCCAGGTCAGGTCTGCTAGGGGTTTCCAACTTCCTCTTGTCTCCTCCCTTAGCGTAGAATGGGGCTAATTACCCAGGAATGTTTCCGTAACCCAACTCCTTGGAAATGTCTGACCTGGGAGTTTCCTCCCCTGCCCTCCCTACCCCAGATCTTGAACCCGTGTTGCCCGAGCCTCAAGTTCTCTCCCCCTCCCCCAGGGTGGTGATCATGAGCTCGATCCTGGAGCACATGTGTGCTGATGTGCTGCAGCAGACGGCCACGCAGATCAAGTTCCCGTCCACGGGCATGGACACGATGCCCTACTGGAACCTGCTGCCCCCTAAGCGACCCATCAAGGAGGTGCTGACTGACATATTTGCCAAGGTGCTGGAGAAGGGGTGGGTGGACAGTCGCTCCATCCACATCTTTGACACCTTGCTGCACATGGGAGGCGTCTACTGGTTCTGCAACAACCTGATTAAGGTACTTGGGGTGGGTGGGGGGTGGGCCAGCTGGGGAGCAGGTGTCCTCAGACTCCAGGAGACATCTGAGAACATGCCCGACAGGACCCAACTTGGTCCCATCCTCTGACTTCCCAAAACCTAGCCTGGTCAGCCGGGCCTCTCGGAGAGGTGCCTTCCGTGCTGCGAGAAGCTTCCTTAGAATAGAGGCTGGTCCCCATCTGGGGAGCTGCAGGGCAGAGGGAGGGATGGAGCAGCAGCTGGGGCTCCCTGCGTGCCCTCCCAGAGAGCCGGGCTGGAGTGGCAGGGATGTCAGAGCCCCACGTTCAGAGCCCTCAGCTCCTAAAACGCCCCCTCACCTGCCCACGTAGGAGCTGTTAAAGGAGACGCGGAAGGAGCACACGCTGCGGGCGGTGGAGCTGCTCTACTCCATCTTCTACCTGGACATGCAGCAGGTGACCCTGGTCCTGCTGGGCCACATCCTGCCTGGCCTGCTCACCGACTCCTCCAAGTGGCACAGCCTCATGGACCCCCCTGGCACCGCACTCGCCAAGTAGGAGTCTGCAGAGCTTCAAGTTCCCGTAGCCCTGAGTCAGGCAGCCTTACCTGGGGTCACCCAGGAAGTGGGCCTGTGGGGAGGCCCTGTCAGATGGGGTCTGATCACCATGGGCACAGAGCCCCCCTTGCGGTCCCTCTAATTTCACTTCTTTTCCTGGAACCCTTTGCCAGGCTAGCCGTCTGGTGTGCCCTGAGTTCCTATTCCTCCCACAAGGGACAGGCATCTTCCCACCAGAAGAAGAGACACCGTGAAGACATCGAGGTAAGGGATCCCTCCATCCACTTATTCACGGGTTTGTTCAGCAGACATTTCCTGAGCCTCTTCTGGTAAGAGGCGCCCTCCCAGGCTGAGGCAGCCAGGCATGCTCCCTGACTCCGGGAAGCCTGGCGGCCACACGTCCACAGTGGTAACTGTGAGCAGGTCTCACTGGGATTGGAGGGGTGAGGAGACGGCTGGGATGCAGAGGGAGGGGAGCCCCTCTGGAGGTGCTGACCGAGGCCCGTGGGAACTCGGCTCTTCCCGTAACAGTGAGTTCCCACCCCCAGGACTACATCAGCCTCTTCCCCTTGGATGACATGCAGCCCTCGAAGCTGATGCGCCTCCTGAGCTCCAATGAGGAGGATGCCAACATCCTTTCCAGTCCCGGTGAGTGTGGACAGGGCTGGGCAGCGGCTCCTTTCCTGGGCACTCGGTCCCCTGAGTGGGCTGCGCGAGGCCCCAGCGCAGGCTTCTTGCTGGCGGTCAGAGAGGGCGTGCAGGAGTTTGTCCCGTTGTGTCTCCTACGGCTGCTGTTTCCACCCCCAGAGAGACCGGTTGCTGTGGAAGCTCTTCTGCCCGGTCCAGGCCCAGGGGCACACGGTTGTCTCTTCCCCACCCCTTACTTCCCACAAGCTACCAATGAGTCCACTGTCTGGGGCACAGTCTGTGCCGTTGACTCACCGGCTCTGACCTTCCTTCCCCTGAAACAGGCCGAGGCTGGAGCAGGCCTGGGCTGGGACTTGGGGCTGCTCCCCACTCTTCCTGCCGAAGAGCAGCCCTCCCCCACCGACTTCCCTCGCTGTCCCTACCCAGGGCTCCTTCTGTGGCACTTACATTTTGCTGTTTCTAGAGATTTCTCTGAGGCTTTCTAGGGACCAGGGAACCACTCTGCACTGGAGCAGAAGGTAGATGCTCGGTCTGCCACCTACAACCCCCCTGACCTTTGACTAGTTACTTAGCATCTCTGATCTCGGTTTCTTCGTCTGGAAAATGGAGATGTGAGGCTTAAGTGGCTGAGTCTGTGTACAGCCCGCAGAGGCGCCTGGCACCTGGTGGCCAATGTTAGTTCTGTCCCCTCTCCTCTGGGGATCTCTGTCTTTGGGGCCCCTCGGTGACTCTGGACCCAAGGACTCCTGGGCAGGGCCCTCCACACCCGATGGGTGAGGGCTTCCCCGGGAGAGGGGCCTGGTCCTGAGCGCTCCCCATTGGCCCCACAGCCGACCGGTCCATGAGCAGCTCCTTGTCAGCCTCCCAGCTCCACACAGTTAACATGAGAGACCCACTGAACCGAGTCCTGGGTGAGTCCTCCCACCCCCACTCCTGAAATGGGGGTTCAGGCCCGATAGCTGGAAGAGGACCTCTGGGTACCCCTACCTGCTCTGTCACATCTCCCTGCCTCCGCCCTCCTTCTCCCCTACTTGCTAAGTCTCCCGTCTCCCCCGGGCTCCCAGGTTGTGCCTCTTCTGACTCACCCCCAATTTTCCTTTTACATCTCCTCTTCATGTCTTGGGGGACAGTCTTAGCACTGATCTCCTTTCCCTTTTCGGTCCCACCTTCTCCCAGAGTCTAACCTCTTCCCAGACCCTTCTCATGGGATTCTTCTCACTCCCCCCGTCCTCACACAGCCAACCTGTTCCTGCTCATTTCCTCCATCCTGGGCTCGCGGACGGCTGGCCCCCACACGCAGTTCGTGCAGTGGTTCATGGAGGAGTGTGTGGACTGCCTGGAGCAGGGCAGCCGGGGCAGCATCCTGCAGTTCATGCCCTTTACCACCGTGAGTACTTCCCGATCACACGGGGGCAGCAAGGCTCAGCAGAGGTTGGGGTTCAGCGGCGGGCGAGCCCTCAGGGTAGGGAGGGGGCCTTCTTTTCTCCTGAGGCACCGCACCCACCACGAGGGAGCCCCAGTGAGCAGCTGTCTGTCTGTCTGTCTGTCTGTGGCAGGTATCAGAACTGGTGAAGGTGTCAGCCATGTCCAGCCCCAAGGTGGTTCTGGCCATCACGGACCTCAGCCTGCCCCTGGGCCGCCAGGTGGCTGCCAAGGCCATTGCTGCCCTCTGAGGGGCTTCGAATGGCCGCAGGGCCCCCGCAGGGAGGGTCTAGCCTCAGGCGCCTCGAAAGGGAACAGTGCGGAAAGATGAGGCATCATTGCTCACATCCACATGATGTAAGCCCTTTGCCAGCTTCCAGATCCCTCCCCGTCCCTGACTTCTGGCTGCTAAGATGCCCCCCATCTCTTTCATTATTTCCTCTCCCTGCTGCCAGCACCTGACGAGTGTGAGCAGCCTGGCTCCTTAGCTCAGGACGGTCTCCCCGCACTGCACCCGCTCCTGTGCTCCCTGCCTCCTCCCAAGAGGCACTTAGGTGCGGAGTGTGCATATGTATGTATCTGTGTATTTAAACATGTTTGCAACACATGAGGGACGTTCACGTCAGCTCACTTGTAAATAAAGATCCTGTGGATCCCTTTGTAAGTGCTGTCAGTGTCTGTCTGACCGTGGCCGGGAGAGGCTCATCCTGGGGGTGGGGGGTGGGGGGTGAGCAGAGGAGGGCTGGCCTCGGGGCCCGTGTTTGTCCACTCATTCGGGGCAGGGAGGGCAGTGGGAGCAACTTTCCTTCCTCAGACCCCCCCTGGGATGATAACGAGTCAACACTGGCCCACCACCGCCTACACCCACCCCCAGAAGTCAGACTTTCTCTGAAAAGGGTGAGGCTTTGGCTAGAGGCCCCACTGGCGTTGGGGTAGAGTGTCCTGTTCTGATGACCAACCCAGACCAGCCCACCCAGAGTCTGACTAGCCCAGAGTCTGATCTGTCCCCCAGAAGAGCAGTGGGGGGGAAGGGGGGGGGCTGTGGGGCAGTGAGGGGCAGGAGCTCTGTTTCACACGACTCCAAGCCCAGTTCCTTCAGGACTGACCGAGAGGGAGGACCCTGAGCCACACAGCTGGGAGGTCCAGCTGGCTCAGCCAGACCCTGCTCTCCAAGGAGCCACATGCAGAAGGCAGTGAGAGCTGATGAGGGCGGGGAAGCCTGGGGAGGGGAACTGGGGACTATTGGCCGGCTGGACTTTCCTGGGTCTGGTGAGGCACCTGGGGCCACATGAGCACCTGAGCTGAGGGCACAGAGCTGTGCCCCTGTGGGAAGCGGCCCCTCCCTAGCCGCAGCTCCGCCTCTCAGCCCAGGTGCTGAGACCAGCAGGAGAGCAGCCTGGGAGACCGCTCCCTGCCCATCAGAGGCAGCTGCGGGAGGGAGAGAGTACAGAGCCTGGCTTTTCGTTCCGACCCAAGTAGTCACCTTCACTCAGCCTCCTGATCTGTACAAGGCACTTTTCTTTTAAAAAATAGACATTTTTATTGGTTTCAGAAAGGAAGGGAGGAGAGCGAGCCATGGATACATCAATGATGAGAGAGAATCATTGATCGGTTGCCTCCTACATGCCCCTTCTGGGGATCGAGCCTGCAACGCGGGCATGTGCCCTGGCCAGGAATCAAACCTAGACCTCCTGGTTCATAGGTCGGTGCCCAACCGCTGAGCCACACTGGTACTTCTTTTTTTAAAATCCTCACCCAAGGATATTTTTTCATTGATTTTTTTAAAACTTTTTAAAAAAGTGGTTTAATAGTTGTGTTACGCATATGGCAGGCAAGATGAACATATTTTTTAAAATATATTTTTATTGATTTCAGAGAGGAAGGAAGAGGGAGAGAGAGAAATATCAATGATGAGAGAGAATCATTGATCAGCTGCCTCCTACACGCCCCCCACTGGGAATGGAGCCTGCAACCCAGGCATGTGCCCTTGATCGGAATCAAACCTGGGACCCTTCAGTCCGCAGGCCGACAGTCTATACACTGAGCCACAGCGGCTGGGGCAAGGCACTTCTTAATTCATGTTTGTAGGCACCTGTACGTGTGGATGGGCTGGAGTTCATGGAAGATGGTAAACTGCCCGGCTCTGCAAATTTTAAATGCATCTGGACTGTTAAGGTTCCCCCTGAACTCCACACTCTCCTCTCCTGGTAGCAGTGTCCCATCTGCCTTCTGTCTCCCTACCAGGCTGTGCTCCATGAGGGCAGGACCATGCCTGCCTGGCGCACTGCTGTGTCCCGAGCATGAGCCTCGTGCCTGCACAGAGTAGGTGCAAGATGCATACGTGCTAAAGGAATGAACCCTGATGAGCCAGAGGACTGCCCCTCCTCCCCGCACCTCTTCTCCCTCCCTCTGCCCTTGACCGCCATTCAACTCCCTGCCCCCCAGCCCCTGGCCAGGCACCAGCTGGACTCAAGAAGGAGGAAGGACATTTGCTAGAGACAAACACTTTATTAACACGAAGTTTGGCTACAATAAGAAAGTAGAGGCCGAGAGTGAACATTGAGCTTCCCTCTCACCCATCACATAATCCCCCTCCTCTTTTCCCGCCCACATTGCCAGCCCCACCCAGCAAGGCAGGTGCATGACCATCTGCACAGCCCTAAGAGGAGGCAGAGTACTGGCCCTGGTGGGGGTGGGGTCCCAAGCCTATGGGTGTCTCTCTAGGGCATCCAGAAGAAACGAGAGACACCCCACGGGCATCAAGGCATGCCCCCCAAAATCTTAAGAAAAATTAGATTACCCATCAAATTTGTGGGACCCCAGGGTCAAGCCTCCCAGCTCAGGCTGCCTCTGCTGGGCTTCATGCCCGCGGGGAGGAGACGTGAGGGGAAGCGAGGCCTGGCATTCGCACGCCACGCTGAAGCCAGAGCGAGGGAGGGATGCGAGGGCCCAGCGGCGAACACTGCTGTTTAAATATTAAACAGGGCTGTCTTGTCTCCCACGTGGGAGAGCTTCTGATGCTTCCAAGGGCCCCAAGTCGGGTGCCCTCGGGGTCGGGGGTTCAGTGCCCACCACAGTCATCGGAGTTAATACTTGGTATTTACCTATCGACCTCCCAGTCCAGGGGACAGGAAGACAGGAGCTTTCTCTCTGCCACAGACAGAATGACACTTGGAGGTGGAGGGAAGGGCCCAGGAATCGGAGACTCCTTTCCGCTCTTCCCGTCTTTAAATATTAGGTTTAAATAAATATTAAATAGAGATAAATACATCGGGTGGGTAGGGTTTTGCTCAGGGCTCGGCAAGGTGGCGCAGGATGCGGAGGGCCAGCTGCAGGAAGCTCTGCAGGTTGGAGGCCACCAGGACGCCCCCTGCCCTGCGCTGGAAGGCCGAGGTGAAGGTGGGCACGGTGCCCTGGGTGGCCTGCACGCCAGGGGCCATCCCCAGGTCTCCCATCTGTGGGGGAAAGGACAAGATCAGCCAGCAGGCCCTGCCCGGTGGGCATGGTTGTCACAGATGACAAATGCAAAGGGCTGATGGGCAGTGGACGAGCACATGGCTGAGGTGGAGCCAGGGGCTGAACCCAGGTGTCTGGAGCTCCAGTGATCCCACTCCTGCCCTCAGCTAGGGGAGCGTGGGAAGGCCAGCAGCAGGAGGGTCCTGGGATGGGGCGGTAGCTCCCTACATACAGCCCGCCACCCCCCAGGTTGCCAGCACGACCCTTAGGGACCAGCTCGGTCTAGGTCCCTAACACTTGCCCCTCCCAACCAAGGCTCACCTGCTGCCAGATGTTGGTGGCAAAGTCGGTGATGTCCAGCTGCAGCATGTCCAAGGTGGGGCCTAACTCGGGGGAGATTCCTGCCAGGGCCTGCAGGAGGCCCTGGTAGAGGAAGAGGCCACCGTGGAGCTGTCCCAGGCAGCCTGTCTGGGGAGACGGAGCCGGAGAGTTAGGGGGTGCCGCTGGGATGCTCCCCTCAGGGCCCCAGCCTGGAGCCTGGAGGCGGGGCGCCTTCCAGATCATCCTTCCCCTCCCCGCCCTCCTCCCTTTCAGACACTCACCAGCTGCAGGGCTTGGCTGGAGCATCTGCCCAGGGGAACCTGGGGGATGCCCAGAGAGTGCCTGAGCAGCACCAGCTCCTCGGAGTGGCACAGCTTGTGGGTGGCACACTGGGGACAAGAAGGATGCTGAGTGCAGGGAACTTCATAGAGCCAAGCTGTCCCCCCCATCTCTCTGAGGTCTTCCCCTCCCTCCATGTCCTGCCAGGCTCCTCAGCCCCATTCTGCCCTCCACTTCCATCCTAGCAGGGTCCCCAGAAGGTTCTCTCTCCCAGTTTCTTCCCGCCTTTCAGGGTTCCCCTTCTCCTACTTTCCTTCCCTGTCCCCGTGCCTCTCCGCTCCCAGGCCCTCCTGATGCCTCCCCGTGCCTCCCTTCCCCTCCCTCAGCTCTCTCCTCGGTTCTCTTTCCCCTACATCCGCCGGGCAGCGTGTGTGCCCTCCCTGCCTGGCTGCCAGCCCCTCACTCACCAGCCTTTCCTGCATGGCCACGACATCAGCCTGGATCTTCCGCACTTGCTCTAAGCACTTGAGCAGGAAGGTCTCGGGCAGGTTGCGGGCAGGTCCCAGGGGAGTGGCTTCTCGCACTGTCCAAAGTGCGCTGTGCCAGAGGAGCAGCTGCAGGGCTGAGAGCGGGCGCATGGGGCTCAGGAGCCGTTCTCTCCACTCCCACCAGGGCACCTTTCTGGGGCTTAGGGACCACCAGACCCTGGACCAGTCCAACCCCCCTCCCCTGCCCCAGGCAGGCAGCCCCCGCATCCTGGGCAGGACACTCACCTATCAGCTTCATGGGGCTCTGGGCTGCGGGCTCAGCAGCGTCTGGCTGGGTCTGCAGGATTGGGTTCTGTCAGGGACCAGCTCCGGAGGGCCTTTATACAGAAGCCCATGGAGGCCCGGGAGGAAATTACCTGCGACTAAGGCTTAGTAATAACTTCCCAGGATTTATGCAAATTTAGTGTCCAGGACAACAAAGGGGGGTTGAGACAAAAAGCTGTTTGGGAAAGTTTTGTGAAATTGTGGAATCCCTGATCCTTCTTTGACGTCGGTGCCCCCTCAAACCCTCTTCCGCCCCTTAGCCCCACCCAGGCCTGAACTGCCCCAGAGTGTTTGAACAGAGCCCAGAACAAAGGCTGAGCCACCAATCAAAAGCCTTGGAGGCTGGAGTCAGTGGGGTCAGACTGCTCTGAGGCTGACCTCCAGGCAGCCCCACCCTCTCTCCTGGCAGACCTGCGGGGCAGCTCCCTTTGCCACTTTCCCTTGGGATAATCAAGCCACCTGCTCTCTGTCCCTAAATTCTGAGAGGGAAGAAGCTGGTCGCCCCCATTCCTACCCCCCAAACTCCCACTAGGCTGCCTTCCTGAATCCTCCCCTGAGAGGCCAGGGGCCAGGGGTTAGGGACATTAGGGTCTTGCCTCTCGACCCTCCGCACAGCTTTATGGCCAGCATCCCAGGCTCCTGTCCTGCACTGGTTCGCTGGGAACTCCCCAATCCCCCCCATGACTCATTCCTTTAAGCCCCTGGAATCCTGGCAGAGACCAGAGGAAACCGGATGCCTGTCCTGAATGAAGCAAGACCCTTGGAGGCTCTTGGTTCACCTAACCCTGCCCTTCCTCCTC